CCTCCATTTTCCCTCCCATCTTAGTTCCTCACCCACTGAGATTTTTTTCTCCTATAGTTTCTTCTTCTTGTCTCTTCTCTCTCTCCTTTCACTTTCTATAGCTTTTCAGACCACCTCATTCTTCCTCACCCACTGAAAGTATGGTAATCAACCGAAGTTCAGTTTCATTCTTCCCTGTTGTCTCTTCTCCTTTTCTCAAATAAACCTTGTGACCCGCAACTCAACACAATCTTCTATCTCCCAAATCAAGCAAAGGGCTTCTAAATCCGGGACTCCACTCCGCTCTTCCTTGATTCACATCATGCATTTCAGAAATTAAAACATTTTTCCAACTGAGCCCATATAGCCTTGACAGATCTCGCAAAGTTCATCTCCTTTGTTTCCCAAAACCTTATGCTGTTTCCATTTCCCACCTTGAAAGATGAACAATTCAACCAGGATGGTTGAAAGTTCATCTCCTTTGTTTCCCACCCAAAATGCTACTCCCAACTTACATGCAACTAGCTTTCTCCTTAGTGAATATCTTTCCTCCCCAAATTTCTACAGCCATTTCCCCAACAAATCTTCATAGTGACTTCACCTCCTGTGTCTCATCAGCCTATTAGAATTTCTTAAACCTATCTTCATTGACTCAAGGTGACAAACAAATCTGGAGCCATGATACATTGGGTCACTTTTCCTATGCTTCTTTTTAAAAAATCCTTGAAGAAACTCCCTCGCAATACCCCCTTTCCGATGAATGCCCTTTGGGTGGACAGAGTGTCTGGAGGTATTTCTCCAGAGCGTAAATCATCTCTTTCTTGAGTTCTTATTCAGAACTAGGATCTAGAGGTATTTCTCCAGCTTATGGGGCCCTCATTGAACAGCTCATATGGATGTAGCTGAGCTGCTTACAAGCCAACAAGATCATATGCACACAAAAATAAGAAGATTATTGTGGTACAGAATGACAGCAGTAATAAATTTGAAGTGCCTGTGAAGATTCTGGAGAAAGGAACACGAGCACATTTGAATACAGAACTCAGAGCATGGACTATGTAATTAGACGTGTCTAATAAGGATGACCCATTGGGGAAAGAATAAGAAGTTTAGAGGAGATACATATGATTCCATCTTGAAATGATGGTATGAATTGGTTAGTTCAGATTTTCACAGGGTAGTTAGACAGGTGGAATGGACAGTGCCCAATCCAGTAAAGATAAAACTGAACTTTCATGGCAGCTCACTAGGGAAGCCAGGACGGTCAGGGTTGGGCGGTGTATTCAGAGATTGTGAGGGACATATACTGCTAAGTTACACAGGAACTGCAGAGAATGGGAACTTCCTACGAGAAAAGCTCTTAACACTTGTTTTACAGATTATGGCTGGCAGCAGATAGGGAATAGAGGGATTTAATAGTTGAGAATGAATTTCAAGTGGTGATTAATTGGTTTAAGCAAAGACTGAGGACCCTTAGAACCTACAGCACCTGTTAACAGAAGCCATGACTTTGGCAGCCATGAATTGCTCATTCAGTTGGATGCCATTGGCTGATAACAATTTGGCAGCTTTCAGACCTGCTAGCACTGTTCCAGCTACTTCAGACTCAACAACCACACCCAGATCAGCAAGATTCAAGGGTCTGGAAATGGTCTAGTGATGGCATTTTCTCTGTGGCTCTCAGGCTTTTCTGTGGAAAGAGGTACGACTCCTTCACATTCCAACAAAGGTGTCTTTCCTGGTTTGGACGGAAGCTCTTGGCAAATGCCTTTCAAAGGATCAGCTGGACAAGAGAGGTTTGGTGCTGGACTCTCTGATCTGTGTCATGTGTGACAAGGAAGTTGAGTCTGTTGATCACCTGATGAGTGTCAGCTGGCGTTTGCCGAGTTCTCTGCCTGATTAGCTTTTTTTCCTGAAGTTGCCAGGCTTAAGTGAAAGGGGCAAGGTGCTATGGAGTGCTATTCTTCACATGGTGTGTTGGGTTCTATGGTAAGAAAGAAATGGAAGGATTTTTCAAGAAAATTTCTGTTCTTTAAATTATGTGGTGGTTCGGGCAATGACTACTCTGCATTCTTGGCTGTCTGCCAAGGATTCTTTCAAACATATCCCACATCATCAGTATTTGATTATGGCACCCTGCTTTTTTAATATCAGAGCCTGATTATCTCTTGTATTTGGCCTTGAAAACCTAGTTTTTTTTTTCCAGGTGGCTTCTCTGTATGGCTGTACATGGAGCATACTGAACAGATATATATTTTTTGTTCTTTAGAATATAATTTCAATACAATACCTTACCTCTTTTGCAAAAAAATGGCAGATAGCCTCACAAGGATGGAAATGTAAAGGACAGAATTGGAGTGGGATATAGGGGTGCAAATGGATCAGATCATGATTTGTTCCGATCCGAGATCCAATCCTATTTGGTTGAATTCGGATCACCCCTGTGGCAAAAAATGTTCAGCACCTTGGTATCCAACAACAAATCTGATAAAGATGAACTTTGGCGGTTGATAGGATGCAGCATGAGAAATTCAGGTTTGTCTTGAGCTTGAGTATACAGATTGAGAAGGAAATTTTCTAGCTCCTTCCTTTGGGTTTATTGGTTATGGTGATTCAAACATAAATTTGGCAATACTACCAAGACGAAGGATAGCAAAATATCTGGATTTTAATATATATTGGATGCAGGAGATTGATATGTGATTGTGAGATAGATAAGAAATTATACAGAATTTTGGAGATAGACATACCTTAAAGGAAATCAAAATATTATATAAACTTATAGATGGAAAGCAAGATCAGCCAATAGCATAGCTGAGGGTTTGGCAAAACAAGGAATAAACAGGAAACAAATATATTCGGGCTTAATATCTGAGGGTGCTAGGGATAGGAGTTGTAAACAGATAATTGTTTTAAATGGTGCATCAAACTGTTTATTATACATAGTTCAATAAAAGTTTCTGTTACTAATAAAAAATAAACAATTCAAACTTATGCAGGATTTCAAGGTACAAGTCTACAAGCTTTGTGTTAACAATATGATACTTTAACTGGCTGAGATAAGAGACTTTTTGAAATATTCTATTTCTTTCAGAATTTAGATTTCCATAATTTTTTGTATATCAAAATGTTATATTGGTAGTTTTTGTAAATTAAGTTTTATTTTGTTTTTTCTTCAAAAGCCAATCCTCACTTCATTCAGACCTGTGCTATACTTTGTGTTTCATGCTCTATGAACTCCCTGCACATTAATTGTGCCTTTCACTTTTAAAATACTGCATAGACATCATTCCTTGATTATGTGTATTATGTATAGCAAAGTGATGCGAACTAGCAGAACTACACCTTCACAGGAGCTCCCCTCCACCCCACCCCACCCCACATCCCCACCCAATACACAAATGCAAGAAAACTTGTATGTGTTTTAAAGCATTTTTTGATGTCTTCAGGACAACCTAGTTTGACGTGGCAAGCTCATGGAACTGGTATCATGTACCCATTCACTTCATCAACACATTGATCAGTTTAAAAACTTTAAACTAAATTGCCTGACAGGAAATGACATCAACTGCTGAGAATATGAAATTAATACAAGGCATTAGCTAGGGTTGTAAATGGGTTGGGTAGAATTGGATATATCAATAGGGCTGTTCACAAATAAATTCAAACCGACCAACCCAGCCCGACCCAACCCGATTTGGCCGGTTTTTCTTCACCACCAGTCGGTTTCGGGTTGGAAAGATGGGAAAACCGATAATTTGGTTCGGTTTCAGTTTTCACACATGAAAACCGAACCGAATTATCTATAAATATATTCTCACTGAAATATTATATATAATATGTATATTCCGAAATATATATTTCAGTTTTAAATGTATTTCCAATGAATATATTCTCATTGAAATATTATATATAATATGAATATTTCAGTTTTAAATAAATAAATATATATATATATATTGTTTTAAATATATATATTTCTGATTAGTATATTTCAGTTTTAAATATATTTCCAGAAAATATATTCTGAAATATTATATATAATATGTATATTTCCAATATATATAAAGCTGAAATATATATTTCGGAAATGTATATATTTAAACCCAAACCAACCCAAACCGACCAGGTCGGTTTTGCTTAATAGAGGGTCGGTTTTGGTTTAATCTTTAGGTAACCCGACCAGATCGGGTCAGTTGAAAAAAAAAACTAGTAAACTGACCCAACCCGACCCATGAACAGCCCTATATATCATACACCTAGATCCAAATTTGACTGATTAGTATCCAGATTCAAATAGAATTCATAATACAATTAGATATTGAATAGAATTAATAAATTGAACTCAAAATTATCAAAAATATTAAATTATTAATAAAAGAACTAAAAATGACTGATATTGTATATCATGAACAAAATGAATCAGAAATAACTTGTATGAAACACTAAAATAGGAATCTTTAGTAAAACTACAATATTCAAACCACTTTACTAATAGATACAATATAAATTTTAACAATATATAAGCATATACATTTGAATTGAATCAAAACAAATCGGATATGGATGAATCCATATTTGATCCAATTATAGACAAATTGAAATTGGCAGATAAATAATTTGAATTCAAACAAACAATACCATTTGCAGCCCCAAGTAAAAGCTAATAATACCACAAACAAGAATATGAGCAAATCATAAAGCACTAATAAATCCAATCCCCAAACATATATAAACCACATAATTGAAACAAGCACACACCTTGGTATGAGGCCAAAGTTGATCGGGAGAAACATGCATCGTGCAGCCCTCTTTACCTGACTCCCACTCTACAACAAAGCGGGCTACCACCCCAGGACCAAAACTAAACCACAAACTCATAAGACCCACTGCTTCAATTCTAAATGCCCTCCTCATCTGGTCTGTCACCTTGTCACCAACCTCAACGGAACCTTTTCCCCCAACAGGAGCTTTATTTTCAGCATTTGCACAATTCTCTTCTAGTTTATCCTCTGGTCTTACTCCAAGCAACTTCCGCATTCCAAGAGCAAAAGATCGAGCATTGGAAAGCCTTCTTAGATCAGCCACCAACTTCTTAATACTATCAGCCTCAACAGATCTATAACTTAGAACAACACCTTCTGGATCATAACGGATATGAGAATCAATATCAGATGTATTAGCAATACGAACACCAGAACCCCATGGTGTAGTGTTACTTCCCTTCTGTAGTTCCCAGAGGTCTCTGAAGTGCCGGTCATTTATCTTGACATCCCAGTACATGCTTCCAGGTCTGCCAAGTCGAAGACATATGTGTTGCCATGAATCATCCCTCGCAAATGGAAGCCTGAACCATAAGTTTGAGGATGGAGTTCGTAGACCAACTTCTTCAACGTATGGAATGTCAAGAGCATCCATCTGGCTAGTTAGCCGAGCATGTTTGATACAAAGTGAGCAGTGCCTCACCACATGAAGAAGAGCTATAACATAAATGTTAGAAGGTGCGTTCCCTTTATTTGCTTCAGCTAGAAGATTTCCATAAGTATAACCCTCAGTTCTAGAGATAAAATCTGATGAGTACAGAACTTGTGGAGGATGATTGCCTGATGATTCTGAGGTCTTCCTTCTCTTAGAAGAACCTGTACTTGCTTCTACCCCTTGGACTGAAGGGATTAACTTTACTATATCTGAAATTGTACGTTTTCGTGGATTTCTATCATGTTTAGGCATTATATCATAACTCGTACTCTGAGAAATCCCAGGTTCTGGAGCTTGGGCTGAAGAAAGAACATTGATTAAGATAAATATAATGAGTAAAAGAGATAATATCCCAATTGGAAGTCATATAAAACCAAGTAATAATTTAAAACTTTAGAGGAGGGATCTTACATACGGGAGTAGCAGTCCACATGTTGGATCCAGAGGCTCTAACAGAAACACCTATTTGCCCAGTGGGTGAGTTTCTAAGACCATTAGATTTCATGTTTGGTGCAGAAGCTCGAGATCCTGTTGGTCGTAATGGAGAAGAGAGCCGCGATGTCCGACCACCAGAAACATCTTTAGAAGATTCATTCAGAAATTTTACTTGATCATCATCCATACTAGAAGAGCTGATCTCTACTGAATGTGGAGACCTAAGAGAAGTCAAATCATGATCAGATTTTGAAGTTGATAGTTTTTGAATGGAGGGGCTTCTAACAGGGCTTGAAGAAAGAGAACTGACAGAGCTGGACTGAACTATTCCCTTCAAATTGTTTGATGGATATAAAGGACTATTAAAATGGGCACCACTAATAGTAGACTTTGTTACATTGTTAATCTGTGAAAACTGTGAACCCCCCTCCCACTTGGGAGATGAGATTCCAGACTTCATCCCTTGATGATTCATCGGAAGAGAACCCAGAAAAGGGGACGCATTAAATGATGAAGAGAGATGATTGTTTACAGGAAAAGGAGGACTCAATGCCCCTTTCTCAAGCTCAAACACCTCATCAACCACAGATGAAAAACTTGGATGAGGGCATCCAGATGACTGTACAGAAGTTTCTAAACCAAACTCAGAGAGAAGACCATGTTCAGAAGATTGATTGGGGCCCACTGCATTTGGCAAAGAAGAAAGTATCCTATCCCAGTCCAGAAGACTGGAATTGAATTCATCCTCGAGTATTTGTAGCTGACCAATGTCAATTTTGTTAAAGCGTATAACATGACTGGAGTCACTAGCTGTATGAGATTTCCCAGATGGATCTGGCTGGGTCTCTAGAAGTTTAAAGAGTGGTTTGAAGTCCTTATCAAGTTGCATCAGCAAAAAATAAGAGCTCCCACACTGTGGAAACCCCATTAACAACAAACTTGATCCATTCAAAATCGTCTTTGGTATCTTTACCGCAGCCAAACCTTGTTCATAAACCTGCAAGAACCAAATGTTCAGTCATATGTGCAAATTCACAAGTGATTGAAATATAAGATCTCAAGAATAGTTGACCCACCAATAGCGGACCGTGTGCACAACATAAAACATTAATGAACACTACCAACAAACTTCAAATGGTCCTAAAAAATACCATAAACAAAGATACCAGAATACTGCACAAAATTCAGTACTCACATTATGCATCTATCTTCTTTTATGAGCAATAGATGACACATTTGCAGCAGCAGAAGGTTGTCGTTTATTGATTTACTTAAAAATAGAAAGGAAAGACAAGGCATGAAGAGATTATTGGAAAGAGTATACATTGTACACTCAAAGTCATAAAGAGCCATCTTTTAAGTTTTTGCATTTTTAAAGAATTCAAGCTAGAATAGTTAATGTTTTCCAACATAAGGGTCATAACACTCAAAATCAAAAGCATTCTACAGCAAGCATGTGCCAACAATAACACAATCATATCTGAAGTTAACACACTGCAAAAGTAAACATTCCAAGATGGTTGAATATTGGTTCCAACTTGGTTTGACTTTCTAGGTAAAGAAAAACTTATAGATAACTGCTATAGACACAATTTGTTTACAAAAATACCTTCATAAGCAATATAGTTTGATTGGCTTAGGAAATAAAATGTGAGAAAAAAAAATAAAATGAAATATTTACCTTCAGGCCTAGAAACCTGCCAATTGATTCAAACAAGTGTAAAATACTTTTGCTTCTTAAGCTTGCAAACACTTCCGCGGCAGACATACTTCCCTGGTTTAAAGCTTCTTCACAATCTGACAAAGCAGATGGTGTGAGAATATTTCGAGATGATTGGAGAAGAAAACGACCATTTCTGCAAACCAAGAAGAATTTGTCAATGTAACAAATTCATGAAGGTAAAATTTTGGCTCTGATACCATGCAAAGGAAAGAAGAACCCTTGCTTTAATACCAATTTTTTATTACAGCAGTGAATAATCAGTGAGAAAACGGCAAATGAGCACAGAAGTTGCGGAAGTTAATTAGAGAAGATAGCAAGACAGTTTTGTGATAACCCAATCGCAGGTTTCATTGTGATAGACCACTATCTTTTATATTAACTCCTTATAACTCTCAATACAATGACAGTTCTGCCCTTAGTAAGTCAGCTGGGATACAACAATAATACAACTAGTAAATATATATGTCTGTAGCACATGGCAATTTCAGATAACATTAATAATCACATTATCCTTATCAGAACCCATTAAAAAAGATAATCAAAGTATGGTGTGCTGGTGGATTTAAATTTTGTATTTCATTTCAATTTTATAAAATTACTTCTTACTTATGATATTTATTTTTGTTTGATATGATAACCAATAAATATTAGAGATGTGCACAATTTTTTGCGTTTTCCATAATTTGTTATTTCTATCTATTTTTTTAGTTTTTAATATAAAATTATGACAGCATGTGTTGACCTATTTGACTTGAAAAAAGGATCTCATTTCTGGGCAACTTTAAATTTTCTATTACATTTCCATAATTAATTCTAAAAATAATTTTTGTTTACCACACTTATCTTTGTTTAATATTATAAACTTATAATATATTAGACATGTCAAAATCTTCAATTTTGTATTTTCTATCTATTTTTTAATTTTTATTATGTAATTATGACATCATTAGTTGACCACCGTTTTAAAAACTGACCTAGAGGCCGAATTATTTTTGCCTCCGGGCCACAGGCCACCAATTCGACCATTTGGGTAGAGCAGGTCAGACTGTGAGGACAAAAAAAAAGGGTCTTTTAGGGAAAATAGCGAAGCAAGGTGCCTTTGGCACTGGAATGCATAGATCTCAAAAAGCTACCCAAAATAAAAATAAAAATAAAAAAATAATCACAGCCAAGTGCAAAGTTATGGACTTATGGCCAATGAAAGTTTGCACATACATTGATTGAGCAACCCGTGACCCGGTGAACAGGTCAAATGGGTTAACAGTTCAACCATCCGGGTCATACGGTTTTTGACCAGGTCACCATTTTTTGACTGCCAAGTTTTAGGATAACCAGACCCAAAATCAAGGCTGAGTGATGGTTCAAATGGTTCAACCAATCGTGTCAACAACGGGTTAAAAACACTCGTTGACCAATTTTACCCAAAAAATTAGACCGTTATGTTGCAAGTCAAGTAGGTTGGGCAGGTTTAAGCGTAACCCAGGCCCAACCCTATGCATTGGGCCTAAGCATCTTGGCCAAAGTCAATCTTGATCCATCCAACCTGGGCCCAACCCGCACAGAAATTTGATGCAGCACTTGAATTGGGTTCAGACTTGGGTTTGCCAATCAGCCCCACAACAAAATTTGACATAAATGTATGTGTATAATTGTATATTCATGCATGTATGCATATATTATGTATATAGTCAAGCCTAACTTGGGCAACATAAGGGCTAGGATCGAGCCTAACCTAAAACATAGAAAAAGCCCAAACTTTTGAGACTAGGCACAGGCCCAGCTCAAGGACCAAAAACCTAAGCCAGTTTATCTAAAATTGCAAGTTGAGCCAATTTGAGCTCGAGTCAAGCCCGCCCAATTTGCATCCGTATCAACCATTGGTCAGTAATTAGATTCAAAAAAAATAGTTTTTTTCTGATAGTTTGCAAGCATGCCAAGGAGAGGTGCAAGGTGCAGACTCACCCTAAAAGAAAGTACAGCAACAAAATTACAATTGAGCCCAGTACAACTAATCCCTAAGTACCCCCCCTCCCACTTAACTAAAGAATCAACCAATGCATTGGCCTCCCTCCTCACCCATTGTATAAACAGATTCCATAGTTTTCAAGGCATCTAGGCGATTCTGGGCAACACTGGGGTGCCTAGTCGCCTGGGCGATAAAAAACTAATTTTTGGCTAGTTTCCTAGTTTTATATACCATTCAACAAGTATGTTAATAGAAAAAATAGCAATTCTCTTTATTAAGAACATTAAATTTCCTCTACAAATGTGGCAAATCATCACATCTAAAAGATAAAAATCTTTTACATATATTAATTTCATTATTTTCAAAAACAATACTACTATAATAAGTATTTAATAGAGCAAATTCATATTAATTAGCAGCTAAAGAAGGTTATTAACTTTATATGATAATTGATAAATATTCAAGATGGAAAGTAAAATAGAAAAAAAAAACAAGGATCGAGTTTCTGTTTTATTTAAATAGAAAGAGAGAATAGAAAAAAAAAAAAGAACTTTATTATTCTATTCTTTCTTTCCTCTTTCTTTTCTTTCTTTCTTTCTTTCTTTTTCTCTTCTCAAAACCCTTTGATCTTTTAAATTTCAATAGTAAAACATTAAAACAAAGTATAATTGATATATATAGCATATAATAAAATGTATTAACACATGCATTAATAAGATACAGCAATATAAATGATATTATAAAAGGCACCCGCCTTGTCATTTTTGCCGCCTAGGTAGGCACTTAGTCGCCTAGAAGGGCGCCTAGTTGCTAAAAGTCAAGGCGTTTCGCCCAGCCAAGGGTGCCTAATCGCCTAGGTGACGTCTTGACAACTATGCCAGATTTGTATTTTTTGTTAACCATTTGAACTTCTTCATTTCATCCCTATGATTAATAAAAAATAGCTTATTTATCACACTTATTTTTGTTCAATATGATGAATACATAATATTAGAGATGCACCCAAATTTTTTAACAAAACTTCTACAATTTTAATAATCTTTTTAAAAGTTTTGTAATTTTATTATGACATCATGAGTTCATCCATTTGACCTAAAAGGTTGAATCATTGACCCACCACTTGAATAGGAAAATGGTTTCGTTTTTGTTTTGGTTTAAAATCTTGTATTCTATTTCCATCACTAATAAAAATACATATTACTTATCATACTTATTCTTGTTTAGTATGATAAATATACAATATTAGAGATGAGCCTAAATTTTTCACAAAAAAAAAGTTAAATTTTTCTAATATTTATATTTTATTTTTTTTTATTTTACTATTTAACTATGAAACCATTGGATTAACTACTTACCCGCCACCCATACTAAAGGATGGTTTATTTTTCATGTTGGTTTTGAACACGGATTTTATATTATTGCAAATATTGGATATAGATTAAATTAGTAGAATTTATTTGTGAGAAACACAAGTACTTCAAATAAAGCATCTAAGGAGAGGATATGGGAGTTAACAGCTTAATGAGAGAGAATTGAATGAAGTGGAAACTCCACGATGTATTTCAAATATGTTTAATGTACATTAGATATAGGATTTTATGAGAGGGAATGGTAGTTAATAGCTTAAATATAGGACTTAATGAGAGGAAATAAAATGAATTTAATAAAAGTGGTAGTTCAAATTGTGTTTTTTTGCCCTCATAAATCAATAAAGAGGGACCAAATTCAAAAATAGGGGTATTTTAGTAAAAATAGTCCAGAATCTAGACCTCATTGATCTCCTCAACTTCTTTTAAGTTTGAACTTATAAAAACTGTTGGAAAGAAGGCTCAAAGTATTGACATGCTCGATACTCAAAAAATAAGTGCCAAGTGTGTAACCACTTTTACATTCCTTTTTTTACTTCTTCAGCCCAATCACTTTGCATGTGTATGCTAAGATGATTATTAGCATTTAAACATATTAAATAGACCCAACTCTAAGTATTTCATGTATCAGTGACCCTGAAACACAATACATTCCGTACAATACAAACCAATAAATTATGATATTTTGAACCCTGATTACAACTAATTCTTTCTCTGGACTCAAGACTCATTCTAAGAGTTGATTCATTAAAGCTAAAAAAGTTAGCTTGAAAAGGAATTGTTTTCAGTTAAGAAAGCATGCTTAAAATAGTGATTCTGGAGCAAAATTAAGAAACCATGCTTCAAAGAAGACAGTTGAATACCCATTTTGATTTTCTAATTGTCTTAATGTGGAAGAGCTATAGCAAGCAATGAAGCAACATATCATCATCTAAGCATGATATCTAGAGAAAAATGCCTTGTTTTCTTGAATCAAGTTTGTGATTCTAAAATGAGGAGGGGTTTTAGGCACAAGGCACCTAAACAAGTGAAAGCAGCTCTATTGCAAAGTGGCAATGGAAATTCAATGAGGAACCCACCAGCTTGTGGAGATAAGTTATAACTGGGAATATGGAACTAGAAATTTAAAATGGACCCAGGTGAAGCATTCCAAACCTAGGGCTGTGCTCCATGGAAGGGTATTAAATCTGCATCAAATGATTTTGCCAAAGGGAATCAATACAAAATTCAAAAAAGGAGGCAGTTAAATTTTGGCTGGATGTTGGTGCAGTAACACCCCCAACCCCCATATCTATTCTCTCTCTCACTATCCTTGATAGCTGCAGATTTTTTTAATAATGATAGCTGCAGATTCTGATGCACCAATTAGTGGATGCTCTGAAATCCATAATAATAATGCTGTTTGATGTCCCAAATTCAGAATAAATCTCAAAGATTGAGAGATTGCATCCCTCATTAAATTTCTACAGAAGGTGCAGCAGCAGGTATCACCATCTATTATAATCGCAAACAAGAGAATCTAGGTGTGGGAAGAATCTAGCCAATTCTCGGTTAAATCTATATTTGGGAGGTTGAGTTCTCAGTAAGTGGGTTCTTTCACTTCTGCAAAAATCTGGGTTCCGTTCATCCCATCAAAAGTGACATTTTTAGCATTGGGCTGCAGCCCTTGAGAAGAATCTTACTGCTGACAACCTGCTTAAAAGAGATTTCAGTCAAGCCTTCACCTGCCCCTATGTGCTAACTGCTAAGAATCAAGAATGTAAACCACTTCTTCATTCACTGTAAGTTCACAGTAAGCTCTAGCCTTCTGTTATGCAACTCTTTGGAGTTCTGGGCTGCTTTCCTGGAAAGGGTACATTCCCTTTTCAGCTGCTGAACTTGGAAGGCCTCAGCAAAAGAGGAAGTTTATTATGGAATGTGTGTTCAGCTGCCATTATTTGAGGAATATGGTGTGAAAGGAACAGCTGCACTTTTGAAAGCAAAAACAGCTCTTAAGAGGAGGTGTTGAATAGGTTTAAAGGCAATGTTATGCACTTGGCCAGCAGTTCATAAGCCATTTCAAGGGATACCATACTCTTCTTTAATTGATCATGAATCTCTTTTTGTAAACAGGAGTACAAATCTGCCATAAATCAGTACCATTGTACAGTTTCTTGTTGTACATAGGCTTATATTTTTCACAGTAATAAAATGCAACAGGAGTACAAAAAACCCTCCATTGGATGTCGTAAATCTCTGTAGCCCGAGTTTCTTTAGGCAACCAAAAAAAAGGGGAAGAGTAATGTGGAGAGCAACAAGAGCAGCTGTTATCTGGAATGCTTGGGAAGAAAGAAAACATAGGATTTTTCAAGGACGAGAAAATCTGAGGAGGAAATTGTTGACTGTGTAACTGTAAAGTGGTTCATTGGCTGAAATTATTAGAACTATTCAAGGATTTCTCAGTTGATGACATTGTCAGAGGTTGGAATGCAGTAGCTTCTTCTGATTCTTTAAAGACTGATGTTCAGGAGTTTTGGTCCCCATGAGTAGAACAAAACGTGAACTTGAATTTTGATTGAAGTTCAGCAGGTAACCCAGGTCCTTCTGGAATTGGGGGGACCTTTCAGAGACAGTGAAGGCAGGCTAATAGCTTTATATTCAGGACCTCTAGGAATGGGGGACTCTTTATGAACCGAAAGTTTTGGCCCTACATCAAGGTGTAAGGTTGTTGGCAAAGCAATTGGGATTCCACCAACTTGAGGTGGAAGGAGATTCTAAGGTGGTCATTGACTGGATGCAAATTAACCGTTTGGGCATCTGGGCACTTAGACAATTTGTAAGGGAAATCAATTATTTAGCAGGGGAGATTGGGGTTTCTTTTAGGTGGATCAACAGATCAGCAAACAGTTTAGCTGACACTTTGGCAAAACAAGAGGTTTCTAGGGAGAATTTGTTCTGAGCTGTGGTAATTTGTTTATCTTGGGATCAACACTTAGTTCTGGGTGGTTGATGGTTGGATTTCATTAATTTCCTCAATGGTCTTGTGATGAAATCAATCTACACCTCAATGGTCTTATCATGTTGTGTGAGATTTTTTATTGGTTGTCCTTATGTGAAAGATTCCCTTACCAAATCACAGATCATCACCAAAGAAGGATGACTATGATAGGTTATTCTTCTATACCATCCAAATTTAAACAAAAAAAGGGATTTTTGTTATAGAAAAGTTGCAACATATCAAAACCAATAAATCAAAATTGGGAGTCATATATTAAAAGAAATGATGATAGACAAATTCAAACCATGATATAAATGAAACTGCTTGATGAGAGGCAGATGTACCTAATGTTTATTCCAAGGGTAATATATGAAGAACCATAGGCCCTCACACGTAGAACTTCATTGCCCCCATATTCCCTAACACTGGATTTATTCTCTCTCTGCATATACAAAATCAAAACAAGACACCATTTAATGATTGCCCAAATTCACAAAAGAAGATAATAGATAAAAAAAAGTTCCTCCCTACACCTAACTAAGCAACAAAACAATTACATATTTACAACAAAAGTAGAATCAACTGTAAAGTATCACCGCACCTATCAAAAAAAAACGAAAAACTGTAAAAGCATCATTACACCAATCCAAAAAAAAAAAAAAAACTGTAAAGCATCATTACATATAGTCGATAAAATCCTAACTGCAAATGAAACAGTGGAGAATTTTCAAAAATCAAGGAATAAAGGCTTTGTTTACAAACGGGATCTAGAAAAGCCATATGACCATGTGGATTAGGAGTACTTACAATGGATGATCAACAAGATGGGTTTTGGGCACAGATGAATCATGTGGATAATAGAATGTGTAAGGATGACTCATTTTTCATTTCTCGTTAATGGAACTCAAAAAGATTTTTTAAGCATAAAGAGGTTTACAACAAGAGATCCTTTATCCCATATGTTGTTCATTTTGGTATAGAAGTTTTAAGCAAACTGCATCAAAAACGAATTACATCTCAAGGGAGTAGGATAATTCTCATTAAACCTACCATATATAACATTTCAAATTATTTCCTTTCAGCATTAAAAACTCCCTTGAAAGTGGTGAAGAAAATTGAGAAAATAATAAGACACCAGAGGATAACAAAAAAGGCCATCTCATTAGTTGGAGACTAGGGGTAAGGAGACGGAGAGAAGAATGTGGATTTGATGGGGAAATGGCTATGGAGATTTCCAAAGGAAATAGAGTCACGTGGGCCTTTGGTAATCAATATCTATAGGCTACACTCAAATGGGTGGATTCTAGTCCAGCCAGATATACCAAGTTGAAGAGACCTTGGAAAATTTTTTTGACCTTGCTTCCAATTTTCTTCACAACAAATCAGGCATGAAACCATCTTTGGGACAAGGGTGAAAGTTCTAGGATGATCTTTGGTGGGGAAAATGTCCCCTTTGCCAAACACTTCCCTTTTGTTTTTGAGAAACGATAACTTTCATTAAGAGCAAAAGAGGGAGGATGTACAAAAGAGCCAAAAGGAGTCAGAGACAGAAATTACAACAGCAAAATATTAGCACAATAAAAAAAAAAGCCCTATCTACCCCTGGTTCAGCTAAAGAATCATCCATAAAATTCAATTCCCTCGGAACCCATCTAAAGGAGCAAGAAAGATATGCTGAGATGTCCTAGATTTCCTTTAGCAGGTGCACTAATCTCCAAGGTCCCAACTCAAAGTTTGAAGTTCACCCAATTGCATTTCTATAATCACCCTCTGCAGCAATGGGAATAGCTTGAATGAATTTAGCCACACCCTTAACCCCTCTGAAAGATCACCATAATAAAATACATTTATGCATGCATGTATTCGTTCAGATGGGTTACGATTGGGTCAGGCCTGGGTTGGGTTGGGCTGGGCTCAGGTCGGGCTTGGGCTAACTGAGGCCTCACCCCAAGCCCAAACCCACCCTCCCCACAGTTTCTGTCATCTCAAGTTGGCCAGGATAACAGAACATGAACAAAGTATCCATCAGCATAACTATCACTGCCATCAGAAGGGGATAACCATGAGTTATTTTCATAGGGAACTACAATACAATGCAGTACTCAAAGCCCTTGCGCAACATCCCAACATCATTTGACAGTGAAGTTTTACTGCACGACATGATGAGATCAGATCACTTCTACATCGTCAAAAACATAAACACAACTTAAAAAATACCAACTGATTTACCACAATTAAAACAAGAGATACCCAATTAACCAATGATATCATTATCATCAACTCACTTGCAGTTTACAGATGATAATAAGCTTATTCTGTGATGGAGGAAACTGAGTTTTTGTGATGAATTTGAAGGAATTCATTAACAGGTTTTAAATTGTTTCTACTTTGAGAGTGAACCCTGGGAAAGAGTTTTGTAGCCGGAATCAATATGGGAGAGGTAGAAATCCAAACATTGGCAAAGATTCAGGGTTGTGAGGTTAAAGGTTGACCGTTAGAATATTTAGGTCTGCCTTTGGGAGGGAATCCAAAGGCTGATAGTTTTTGACAACCAGTGGTGGAGAGATTTGCCAAAAAACTAGCTCTCTGGGAAAGGAATTACATCTCTTTGAGATGAAGGATAACTTTAATTAAAGCCACAATGGCCGATCTACACATCTAATTCCTCTCTAGCTTTCATATTCCAGTTAGAATGGCCAGGCAACTTGAGAAACTTAAGATGAAGGACCACTTGGTGAAATGGGAACAGGTTAGAAAACCTAAGAAGCAAGGTGAGCTAGGTATTGGAACCTAATTTATAGAAACACATCTCTTTTAGGTAAATGGTTGTGGAGAGTTCCCCTTGAAAGGGATAGGCTTTCACACAAGGTTATTGCAAGCATTCATGGTGTGCAAGACAATGGCTGGGATGCAAAGGTCGCTTTTCCTTTTCCACTTCAGCTTCCCCTTGGAAAGCTATACAAGAGGTATGCCCAAATTCTTTTATTTGTTATGACATGGAGGTGGGAATGGAGTTGTCTTCTAGGAGGACCTCTGGTTGGGTGAGTCCCCCCTTAAGGTGCAATCCCCTTGGTCACCACAAACTTAAAAAGGCCATTACCAAAATATTGGTCAACTTAGGTTGCTTGGGTAGGGCTTTTGTCAAAATTTGAATGAGCCCAGCCTGATGGTCCAAACCAGAAACAGTGTAAAATATTAACTTGGGCCAACCCAAGTTGCACCACTAGTTATATGGGGTCTTGGTGGAGATGGGACTAGATACAGACCTAACCCTTGCCAATTATTTTGCCCATAAGTGGCTACTCTCAGCCAGTCACCACAAGCTTAACACTTTAAATCTAGAAAAGGAAAATTTAAAAGAAATAAGATATTTTGATTCAGCTAGCTTGCTGGTGAGATCCCTGGTTGGTTGTAGTGGAGATTTGGGATCATGTCCCAAGTTTATATCTCATGCACTCTCAAGGGCAACGTTGTCAAGGTAACATCTAGACAGGCACTCACCTAGGCATCTACGCTGTCTTAGTCGCCTTTTGGGGTTGCCTCACCCAAACGCCAAGTGACTTACATACAACCTATTCAATGTTCTATAATGTTTCTTATATATTTATATTTTGAGTATATAATATTAAGACAGGCATGACACACCATAGCATTCTTATTTATTTTTTCACAAAATAATATATTTTTATTAGTTTTTTATTTTGTTAGGGTTCTGAGTGATAGATATTCAAAGACTTCGAAAAAAAATGAGGAAGACCAACAGGCTTTGAGTGAAACAGAGTTCAAAGTCCTTGAAGAAGCAAGAAAAACCAATCAATCACAGAAGGTATTATCTTCTTCTTCTGGAGGAAAAAAAAAAAACAAGGCAACCCAATCACAGAAGGTATGCTCTTCTGTTCTGGAGCAAAAAACATGGGCTCTGCCCCTTCTCTTCTTCTCCTTTTGGAACAAAAACAGGGGCTTCACCCCTTCTTCCTTTTTTTTGATAAATAACAATAAGTTTCATTAAGATTAAAGAAGAAATATACAAACAAACAGAAGGAGGTAAGCTATCTTAACTCCCCTGCAATCAGCAAAACAAAATTACAAGATTAGAAATGATCCCAAAACAAAGAATTCCTAATCACCCCTTGCTTTGCTAACCCATCGGCAAATGAGTTAGCAGATCTCTTCACCCAACTGAATTTTATCTCAATATCTTTTGCAAGCCATTTAAATTTTTTTCCTTTCATTGCTGTAATACCACATAGCAGTCTTGTCTTCCTTTAGCCATCTTACCACCACCTCCGAGTCCCCTTCAATTTTCAGCCTCCTAATGTTCCGCTCCCTTGCTCTTTGAACTTCCTCCAACGCCACAAAAATCTCAGCCCTTAGAGAGTCAACCTCTCCAATAGGGGCCAGAGTAAATAGCTGAAACAATCCCCTCCTCATTCCTGATCACTCACCCAACACATGACAAACCTGGTTTCCCAAAGCTGCTGCCTTCTTCTTCTTCCTTTTCTGGAACTAAAATAGAGGCTCCATCGCTTCTACATCATTTTTTCGGAGGTTTTGTTGTCATGTTTTCTTTTTTTCTAAGACAATAACAGGAGCTCTGTCCCTTCTTTTACTTCTGTTCCTACAACAAAAACAGGGGCTCAGCCCCTCACTGTCCCGACCGTTTCTGAGACATTAAGCAACGCCTAGGCAGGCGTCCAGGCAACTAAGAGGCTAAGCACTGCCCCTGTCACCTAGGTTCACCTAGGCACCTTGAAAACTATGCTCCCAGGTGGAGTACACTTAAATCAGGTTTATGTTGCAGTGGGTATCAGATTTGTATAACTGAAAACTTCTAGAAGTCTAAGTAAATCTTATTTCTTTTTTTATATATATCTAGATAGATTACTAAGTGGTAATTTCAAGCAGCAATTTCCATTCCATGATTGAAAATTTGTTAGATTGCATAATGTGCAATTTACATATGCATCATTTCCAAAAGTAATACCTAAAGAACCAACATCCAGCTGTGGATACAAAAGCTGTGAATGAGCAGAAGGGACAGCACCAATATCTTTGACCAAATCCAGGTAATAGAACATTGAACCTGATTATTTCAAAGTGCTATGTGATCTAGTCATCTAGTTCACTTGGTTGAGTTTCTATTTCAATCTTAGATGGCCGTACAAAACCAATCAAAAAGACAAAGTGTCATTCATAACCAATCAATCTCACTTGGTTGAGTTTCTAACCAGGCAAAGTGTCGTTCATGACCAATCAAAAAGACAGTAAAGATAAAGTTATTACAACATAGAAGCTAATAGATTGTAGAATTAGAGTGGTATATAAAAATCGAGAGGCCTAATAAAGAACAAAATTGCGCCATGCATAGTAGTCAGGGAGACAACTAGGCCATCATCAAGACTGCCCCAGACTCCTATAACCTATGGCAGTGCTCAAGGTGGGGCAATAAACCAAAGTCAATTAAAAAACATCAACCACGGACAAACAGGCACCTATGGCCAAATAGATTGCCTAATATCTTGCCACATCTGCACATGTTATTATATTGCAACTTAAGATAAATCACTTAGATTATATACATTATAAATATTTTTTGAGAACTATATTGTAAAGTATTTCATTAAATCAAAAAGCCAACAAATACCCCTGTACAATCAAAAATCCAACAATGTAAAGTATTTCATTACAAGCACATGTATCATTAAATTGTCTCCTAAGCTTGTATTTTGAGATAAAAGGGATAAAGTCTAGAGAATCAGTTTCATATCACCTTGCCACTATCTAGCCCATGCCTCACATTTGAAGGCCAAAAACCTTAAGACATCATCAAGCAACCATGACTACATTGGCACTAATGCAGGGCCCAGAAAATCTTGCCCAATGAAAAAGGCCAAACCAAGCAGCCACTGCAATCATCCAGCATATAACATTCTTTTTATTTGTTTAGTAGCATGGAGAATGGCATAGAGCGAATAAATTGAATGGTTAGTTTCATCCATTTGAATTGATTTTTGCAAACAGAGATCACACAGTTGGTATGACTCCACAAGTTTATATTAGGTATATGGTTATTGTCAATCTGTCATGAGGTGTACACCTTAAAAATAGGGCATTCCCATAAAGAAAGTGATTGCTGATCGTTCATTCCTTTACCAACCTTTTTAAGGTCTGCATCAGATTCATCTGAGTAGCAATGAAGAACAACATCACCTGCAGCCTGACAGATGTGACCATTTCTGCTCAGCTCCTTATGGATTTCAAGCAAACGGGTATACCTATTGCAACAAATAGCTCTTAACAACAATTTCTCAACATCAATGCAACTTTGATCAAGGGATAACTTTGCCTCCTTGCCAGTTAGTGGGTCTATAACAAAAGTGTTATGGAGACACTTTATCTGCAGATCCTGTACAGGTTCAATTTTTATAAATGGGCATGACCCTGAATCAGAACCCCCAGTATTTTTGTCAATATCCAACCAGTATACAATTTTCACTCCAGGTGTTTTTAGGCCAGCTGAATCAGCTTCTCCATCCTGAGTCATCTGCATAGAACCACCACTCCCTCCCTGTCCTGTGCTGCCATCAGATATAAGCTCAAAACGTATTGCCTCTTTCCATCTTCCTTGACGCATTGCTTGTACTTGCCTTATAACAGTGTCCATGATAAGTGCAACACAAAGTTCATGAAGTATGGAGTACAAAATCATAAATGGGTTTTCCGCTACAGACATTCGGCGTTCTAGATCATCCCCAAGGGCATGCCTTCGTGATTCTTCAAGCTTCACAGGCCCATTTCTCTCCCCCACAAGCAGTTCTAAATGTAAGATTCTCCATAGTGATAAATGTCCCCGATAACCAAGAGTAAGGAGAACTTTAAATTCCCCATTTACACGAAGAAGTGCAGTGCCATCAGTAACTTTGATTTCAGAAACTTCTTTGAGAAGTGTAACTTCAAGCAGTTTTGATCGTACAAGTGTGTCTAACTTCTTTAAAGCTGGTTGTTGCTGATCCTCAGTTAATGTGCTCTGAATCCCCATGTCTTCTACGCATTTTGGTAGACGTTGATAATTTCCTGTAAGGAGAACTTCAATAGCAGAAGGAACATCATAAATAGGAGCACGAGCTTGCTGCAGTCCCTCATGCATGAAAAATAAGGAATCTGCAGCTTGGGTAAAACATGTATCATGGCTTGACAATGTAGAAGCAAGCTGTTGACAGTATTGAACCAATGGAACCTGCAAATGATCAGTTACCCAAAGTCAATACAATTAAAATTTTGTAAAAGAGGTAAACATTCACTTATTTAGTAAGAAATGCTAGCCCAAAAACCAAATAAAACCTGTGTGAGGATAAATGCCCTTATTGAGACTAAAACTTAAACCTATATTCCTTATCATAAAATTAATTGTATATTCTGATAACCAGTAAAACAATCATGAAATAGAATCCTCAATCTAGAACAAAACACTATAAAATAGATTGAAAAACACTGAGAAATTAATCTTAGATAAGACTGTTAATGTGTTAGTCTGGACCACATGAAGGTAGACCCAGACACCCAGCATTTCTTTTTTACCAGCAAGAAGAATTTTATTGAAAATAACTAGAATGTCATATCAAGGTGATATCATTCTCCACCCCAACCAAACAAAGCTTACAATTCTGCACAAAACATTTTTTGTCTGATAACAGTATTTTAAAAGCGCAAGGGCCAATTTGCGCCTGAGGCGCAAGGCGAGGTGTGCGCCTTTTTAAGAAAGGCGCAAAATTACAAAAAAAAAAAAAACTAAAAATCAAAAAAACAGTCAAAAAATTCAAAAAATATTAAACATAATGTTAACAAAAAATATAAACTTAAGTTTTAAAATAAATGTTTTAAAAAACCTATTATCAAAAATTAAAATACATAAATATAACATGTAAAGCATATTCAAATGAAAATTTAAAAATAAAAGTAAGCATATAAAGCATTTTCAAGCATGTAAAACCCACAATCTCTTTTTTTCCTTAATTGCATTGCTTCAAGTAGCTAATATGATATAAAACATATTGCATTCTTGATTCTATGAGTCGCCTTTGTACCACGCCCCTCGAAGCAAGCCCGAACAAGTCTATGTTAGGGTCTGAAATTCTTATTTCTCACATAAAAAATTAATGATTTTATAACTTTCATTGACTTTTAAGAAGATATTTTATTGCAATGAATGAATGATATAGAACAAGTCTATGTTAGGGTCTGATAGTCCCGTGTTTAGCTAGAGTATCTGCCATCCTATTTGTGGTTCTTCTCACCCATTTAAAAGTAACAGTCCCTTGTTATGTTTTCAATCTCCTGAAAGGTGTGTCTATAGATCCATGGGATTTGGGTATAACTTCTTGTCCAGGATATGACCACCAGAGAATCCCCTTCCACCTCCAATTGCTGGAACCCAAACTGCTTTGCAAACTTTAATCCATCGTAAGGCCAGCATTTCTGCTGTCAATGAATCACCATGCTCAACAGCAAGGACAGAGCTACATATACATGTATGCAGTCAAATTGACCCCAATGAAGTTTTAAAAAAATGGTAATTATAGGTATTATTTTGAGCCATTTTTCCATATTGACCTCACACTCTCCAATAGAATTGAATGAAAATTTAAAGCAGTGGGGACAATTTAATAACTTAAATATTAAATAGTAGGTTAGCCTATTAAGATACAAGAAACATGGGCTTTAACTGTTGGATAAAAAATAGAAAATAATAACTTAAATATTGAATAGTAGGTTAGCCTATTAGGACAAGAAACATGGACTTTAACTGTTGGATAAAAAAAATAGAAAAGACAAAAATCCCTTGGGTTTTAATTTTAGATTAAAAACAAAAATAAAAGAAAAGGCTTCAAGAGAAAACTACCATTCCAATTGAATAGTCCTCTCATGTATCCTATACATATGAATTTCTAATGTAATTTTTTTTATTTTTTGATGCAAGACAAGACTTGTCATGAAGTTAAACTCAAGAACTCACCTACCACATTAATTTAATTACAATCATCACGTGTATAAAATTGAGAAAGATAAAGTATGATTTCACTAGTTTTCTTACTTAAAATTGTAAAGTTCTTTTAATAATTTTATATGTTTTCAACTTTTCCTTCTGGAATTATATTTTATAGGTTTATTATGTACTTGCATCTAGATTTTTTGTTTTAAGAAATACAATCGCTGAGAGGATAATGGTAAAGGTAACACATTGGGTGAAGACAACAAAACTGTTTTCTGACTTTTCTTTTGATGATATCCTCAGACACTGGGAGAGATTACATCATCTTCTTCAACTAAGGAAAAAGTAGTGTGGAAGTGGGAACCTCCAGAGGATAATTTCTTTAGGTGATGAGGAGACGTGAAGTTCTTGTATTCTGGACCTATAGGTGATGAGGACTCCACTGTTGCAGAACTGAATGCAGCCATATTTGGGGTCCAAAAATCGTAGGAAATAGGGATTAGAAAGTTGGTGATTGAAGGAGACTCGAAGATGATTTCAAGTTGGCTGAAACAAAACAGCAAGGCTCCTTGGTATTTCAGAAACGAGATAAAAAATTCAAAAGACGCGATGGTGGCTCTGCAGTGGGTTCCTAGATAAGCAAACAATTTAGCTGATCATTTAGCTAAGAAGGGGTTAATAGAAGGATTTGCTTTTGGGCTCAATTGTAATTATAAGGATTGTTTTTGTTGTCATCTTAAGATATTCCTGGGGCAGCCAAGGCTACTCAATCTTGTAATATTTTCATATGTTTTAATAAAAGTTGTTCATGTGTTTCTGATCAAAAAAACAAAGATATACAATTGTCGAGGACAATTGTAAAATGACATTTGTTATTTTACAATTGCCTTTAATCAGGATTGCTAGATCCTGATTAGAGTGTTTAGAGAATTCCACAGCGGTAGCACGAGTAAGCAATTGAAGGGTTCCAAATATGGTCAGTTAGAGCATATATCTCAAGTTTTTTCCAAGCTTAGGGGTGAGTTCATTAAAGAAGTTTAATAATGTTTAGAAAGTAAAAAAACAATGCTAAGGAAGTAAGCCACAGTGATAAATAGAAGCTTTTGCTCAACAAATTTTTTGATAAGAGAGAGAAAGTTCTTGAAATGATAGGGTTGAGATAGATGAAAATCATGAAATAGATTATGCCTATTAAGGCCAGTTGAGTTTAAATATGGATAGTAGCATTATTCATTGTTCATAGGAGTGTCTTAAGGCTTTGTTTTCTATTTGTAATGTTGAACAACTTTTTATTAATTGAGTAAATAAAGATGTATAATGTACAAAACAACCAAAGAAAACCAAATTTAGGCTGGTTTGTAGCTACCTAACCTGGTCTGTTACATATTACGTTATGTTTGGCCCCAAAAGAACTCATCCACGTTGGCACTTTATTTGGTCATTGCATCAGACAAGACATTTGCTGACCTCTAGACCCAAGTATCTTAGCTCCTTGTCAAATATCATAGCTCCTTCATATCCTAGTTCCTTGCAGGTCCCTTTTTTTATCAATAACGGAAATTTCATTCAATGATTAAGGAAAATGATACAACAGAGGGGAGCTAAAGTGTCTTAACTCCCCACAACCGTCCATGTATACCCAAAATACAAAATCAGTTACAACTGGGCCCAAAAAAACAGAATTCCTATTCACCCCTTGCCTAGCTAAGCCATCTGCAAAATATCTTAGCTCATTCATAATGTCTCTACACTGCAAAAGCTCTTGCTTGTTGTGTTACATCGAGCAAATACTACCTTTGAGTCCCCTTCCACCCCTATATGCCTATAGTTTAGTGATCTTCCAATAGTACCACTAGCAGCTCAGCTCTTATAAAATCCCCAATGCCCATCAGTCCTGAGTAGATAGCCAGCATGGTACCATATCCAACCATAAATAGTCTTCCTATGCATAATGGTCCCAAGTTGCCCATACTACATATGGTAAATCAATGACTAGTTGTTTTTGCCTACATACTCAATGCAATGACTGGTCAATGCCCAGGCGCTGAATATTCAATAAAAAAAAGATCACAAAAAAGTTAATATAGACCACAATAGTACAACTTTGCAGTAAAAGATTGTATTGAGAAGTTAGTATCTGGTTTTTGTTTTGCAAAGAAAGAAAAGGGCCAGGCTTTGTTTTGGCCTACCTACTCGATGCAATGACTGGTCAATGCCTAAGCACTGAATATTCCAAGGACCTTCAAACAAGTGATAAGAAAAGTGGAAAAGGTTGCAAGGGAAGTAGAGGCTGAATTCAAATGGGTTAGAAGGAGTGCAAATGGGTTAGCTGATTATCTTGCTAAACAAGGGGCTTTAAGGCAACAATGTAAAGTGGGACAGAAATCTGTAATAGTATGGGAGCTTTAATCCCATACACAAAGCTGTAAAACCTTATTGTAATCCTAATTTCAAATAAAATTCTCTTTTGCTGATCAAAAAAAAATATCCAATTAAAAAAAGATTATAAACAAGTTAACATAGACTACAATAGTACAATTGTGCAATAAAAGATTCTATTCAAAAGTTAGTTTACAATTTTTGTTTTGCAAACCAAGAAAAGGCTACGCTGTATAGGCTAGGATAGGGTGTAGTCATTGCATTAATTGTTTTGCAAACCAATACACCATTAATTGATGATTAGTCAAAGCTTTGGCAACACTATGGTTTAGAATCCACTATGGTAGATTGTAGGGTGTGACTGGGATTAAGAAAGAATGCTGCAGCTTTTGGAAGTGCAGGGAAATTTTGAAGAGTTGAAGAATACTGCAATGCTTACTCTGGATAGAAAAAGGATTTATGCATGCATTCCTCAAAGATAGGAATTTTGGTTATTGAGTGCCAATCCTTTTTTTTTCGTTGTTTTGTAATTTTGGGAGCTAATGTAGTAATGGGATATCTTTCTTTTGTGGGTTTTGATTGTATGGGATTTTGCAGGGAGGGATGATTGATTACGAAGTGTGTGTATATATAATCAAACCAAAAAAAAAAAAAATAAACTGATGTTCAGTTTTTCATTTTTAATGGAAAAATGCTCACCTCTACAAAGGAGGTGAATGAGATAGCAGACACTCTAGCTAAAAATACTGCACATAGAGATGTCTATCAAGGAGTTTACCTTCCCATCATTTAACAGTCTAATTCCATACAAATTACAATTACTACTTTAATAATAACAATAAGAACAACAACAACAGATAAAGAACAAGAAAAAATGTCGACCATCTTTTCCCTTTTCATTGCTCGTGATCAGAATAGTAGATTATAACATTGGAATGAGCGAGATACAGTATGAGATCCAATTTCGTATGGTGCAAAAATTCCTGTGAGAACACCCCTTGACCATTGAAATTTTGAATCAATAACCATTAAAATCAACGAGTTTTCAAACCTCAAAGGCTTATTTTGCCTTAATCTTGCCTAGACCCGCTTCATCCCATCAATTCATCAGCAACTTATATTACAAATTAGATTACTGCAAAAGAACTTGTAATTCAGCTAGACCTAGACAAACAATGCTCTAAAGAACGAGGACATAAAACTCACGGCATAAGTTAACAAAGTAAAACACCTTTACAACTTCAGTTTCCGTTGCAAGACCAAGTCCAGGTGAAAAAAACGGAGGTGACCATATCTCCACAACTTCGATAAAGAATACTCACTTATCACGGAAATGACACTCTTAGCAACTCTCGCAGCTCTAACGACCTTACTACCAAACAAGCAATCAAACAAAATCCAGGTTTTGATTCATGTCTAACATTCAGCTCCGGAAACTCGAATTCATGAATCGCGAAGAACCACCAAAAAATCGCGAGCCACCTATAATATCATTCGGAGTAAACGAAAAACAATAAAAGAAAGGCCAGAACTAACCTGTTGGCACCACTTGGCTAGAACATTGAGTCGGAGCATTCGCTGACGAGTCTTGACTATGTACTTCAAGAGGCTGATCTTCTTTTCGGAGTCGGACTGCTCGGAAGATTTCGATTTCTCCACCAAGTCCTTGAGCGAGAGAAAGGATTCCTCGGCCGCTCGGCGCACCAGCGTCGAGAATTCGACCGTCTGTTGCCCTAATTCCGCCATTCCTCGTTTCCTTCTCGCCGGGGTGAGATCTACGCAGCAATGTTCATGGAAGAATCTAGGGTTTGGTAACAGAGATCACCAGAGACTTCCAAGCTTCGGTTCCAATTCGAGCTTCGAGAAGGTATCCAGAAGAACAATTTGCTCATCCTCCTCTTTCCATTCGCGGGTTCCTTCAATAGGAGGACGATTAAAAAGCATGAGAAATGCGGAATAACCACTTTTGGGGTGGTGCGACTTTAGAGAGAGAGAGACAGCAAGTGGAGAGAGAGAAATAAAAACCCTACATTTGGACCTCGGCTTCAATTAGTCTATTCCTCCTTGTTCCGCTATAATCGAACCTTGTTAAACTACACCCTGTGAGTAATGCGCACCATACTCGGAACCTTCCGCATACTGCAGTGCAGTGCAGAGCCACTGCAGTTGGGTGACGTGGAAACAGATACCGTGTATGACTCTGAATCCTCTAATGAAGTGGATGATATTATGCGTATAACGATATTCCACGCCAGCCTAACGCGTGGGAAATATATGAATAAAACTGACGTGGTGCATCCTGATTGGTTCACTATTACGAATAAAACTGTAACTATTCAAACGAAGCTTGGCGTGAAAGTTTTGTTAGCCTGTTAGGATTTAATTTCCTTGGTGGACGTGGGATTTGCTACCATGCGCCCATTGCGGGATAAGCCATTCTAGATTCTGATTTTAATTTTGATTTTGATTTGTGTGTTTACAATTTTTTTTTCCTCACTGGATTGTGTGCTTACATTATCCACACGATGGTTCAAGCGAGCTTGGATGGGTCAACTGGTTAGGTTGGATTCATGAGCGTTTACAATTTTTGGCTCAGTTTGGAAGGAATACAATTATACAAATACAAATATGTACTGTGTAAAATACATATAAAATATAAGGTTTTATATTCTACAAATTTGCATTTGTCCTCCTTCCAAACTGGGCCATAGGAAATTTTTGGTTTTTTTTTTTTGTGGGGGAGACTGTACTTTGTTTTTCCGTGAATGGGGGTGGGTAAGTTAATTAATTAATCCTATATCAAAAATAAAATCACGTTCATGTTTAAGTATTAATGGATTCTACGGAAAAGAACAATTTGGAGCGACTCATTTACCTCTCTAAGGCTTGGATAGATAAATAACTTTTATATATTATTAACACATGATTCAATAATATTATTCATTTAATAATGACCATTTTATATGGATATATTTTAGAAAACATTTGTCAATAAATGACTTATTGAATTTTTGGGGAAGGAACTGCAACTATGTTTTCAAACCCACCCAGTGATCAAGTGCTCTCTCTCTCTCTCTAAGTTAGTTTTTGGTCATAGGTCACCAATTCAACCATTCAATTTAAATGGGAAGACTATTAAATTTTTTTTATAATATATGTTACTAGTATTAGAATATGAGTTATGCTTGAGACAATTGTTCACTTCATATAATATATAGCTATGGTATTCATGTAAACAAGGCTCACTTTGGGAAGAGTACAAATATAAATATTAAGTTTAAAATTACCATATGCCAGGTTTTGAAGTGAGCATATTTGTGCATGCACTCTTTCCACATTGAACATAAAGTTCGGTTTGGAAAGAATAAAAATACAAATATGTTCAGCACAATACATACAAAATAACACAAATAAGGCTCAATTTGAAAATGAATATAAATACAAATATGTAGAGTGCAAAACTTTGTATTTTGTATGTATTTGCACTCTTTCCAAACCCACCTCCAGGTTCAAATTATCAATATCATATATCATATCAATAAGCTTTAATAAATGCATGCATACATTTTAGAATTTAGATATGATGGAAACAGGAAAGGTATGGATATGATGGAAAAACCCTTATTTTTCAGTCGAATGAAAATTATTACAATTCCCACAAATATGTCAATAATACAAAATGTAAAGTTGAAATGAGTAATAACTTTAAATAAGATATGATACATAAAAAATGTACACTTTGATAATTTATATGAAGAACTACATTACAATCAACAATACTAAGAGTCTATAACATGTAAATATCCTACAACTTTACTAATAATGAATCAAACAAGAAGTTTGATAGATCATTTATAGATCCATCCTATAGTCCTTGCTTACCATGAAAATCATTTACAATACATAAAAAATATTTTTTAATTAATTGATTTTTTTATAAAAAAATAAGAAAAAAATCTGCTTTTGAAATTAAACCATTCTTAGGTCACTGAGTTTTAATAAATCATTGATAAATTCATATTATAGTTTTTTATGCAATGAAAAACATCCAAAACAAATACTTCGAGTTGTAAACTATTTAAATTTAATTTGATTCAAAATTGGCATCTAATTCATTTTAGTTGGATTCATATATCCATTTAGTCATAATTGAATAGAAATCAGATTTGAAAACTATGATCCATCTATTAATCAAAATAAATTTAGATATTACTAGAACTAATTGATCCATTGGGATTCAATCAAATCTAATTACGAAGACATATAATATGTACACACACGTATAGAAAATATCATCTTTTAGATTTTTTTTAATTTAATGGGATATGGGACTTAAATAAACACTTCTTTATAGTATATATTTTTATTTTGTATTTAACCTTATAAATCGATGTTAGTTTTATATAGGTTTGCTAATATTATAATTAATTGTACTAGATATCAAGATACGTAAATAAATTGATTTTGAAATCTATGTTTTAATTGGATATTAGACTTACATAAACACTTATTTACAATATATATTAGATATAAATCATGCACATAAAACACCATAGGATATAGAATTGAATTTGTATTTATTGGATATAAATCATATCAAATTCGAATATTCCCCTATGATAATTCAACAACATGTTCATAAATCAAAAAGTAATGTTTAGTATTAAGGTGGTTCTATATTGTCTCAACTAACAAGCAAACACATACAAATGCACGGGGGTTTAATAGAGGTTTGCTTAGGTTTGAGTTGGTAAATTTGAGTTTTGACATCAGTTCGATTCTAGGCAAGGGCCATGTTTGGGGTTGGTCTTGGGTTGGCAATTAACCCCATCCAACCTATATATGACCAAGTTTTATTAGATAGGGTCAAGAGGGGTTTAAATATATTTAAAAGGAAATGAAGGAGTTAATGAGGGAAGGGAGATATTACAAACACTGACTAATGAAGAGAGAGAGGGGAGAGGGGAAGGAGATTTAAGAATTCTTTTATTTAGAGAAATTATATGTTTTAATAGGGAAAATTAAGACACATGAAGATTTTTATAAGGAGACATGATTAGTAAATTCTCTATTTATTTTTTCACATGTGCAAAGAAGTGGAGAATAGGGGATTCCTTGTAAGGCTTGTGGTGGGAGGACTTTATTCTCTATACACTCCTATGTGATGCACATAAATTGTGAGATATTAAAGATAGACACATCACATGAATATACTTTTGAAAGTGAAGTTACTAACATGTACTTCTTACAAAGTAGGTAAAAGAAAGAAAATTTCTTTAAGGTACACTGTTGACTTGACATTAAAAAAACATTATTGTTGTCTAGTTTCTAACATACTAAAGCAAAAAAAAAAAAGCATAAGATATAAAGAATATAGCAAAATGCAGTCTGACATTAAATAAAAGAATATGTACAGCTTGTTTCCTTCAAGATCATCGTTTTACATAATGATGGGACATCGAGCCAAAATCATAGAAATAATTAGTACTAACCTAATAACTATAAAACCAAAACCTATGCATAGAAACGAAAGAAAAATCTACAATAATGAAAAGTTTGTATCCACAATAACATAAATAATTGAAAACCCTAACCAAAATGCAATAAATTGGTCATAGGACCAAAATGACAAATATTGATCTCAACACACTAAAACCAAAACATATGTAAATGACCAACAATAGAAACCATGTCTTCACATTGCAAAGCTCTGCCATGAACCAAGACATGGAGTTGTTACCATAAGAATGGTGGCTTTGAATGCAAAGACAAAGAAAACCCTGTGACCTTGATGCATAAACTGAGGATTGAGTTTTACAAAGTGCTCAAACATTGACTTAAATCATTTGTGTTAATAAGAGAATGGTAAACCTAAATCATTTGAATTGCTATGAAAAGTAACACCGGGATGCTTTACATAGACAACAATAATTTCATGGCTTCCTCTCGTATGAAGCTTTAAGATATCAAGGTCATTGCACTTTGAGAAAATAATGAGATGGGTAAAAAATCAAAGAACTTTTTTTTGTCAAAGAGGTGAGTGTGAGCTCCAAGAAGCTCATGGTAGGCTCAAAAGAAAGAGTTGTCACCCATTTTTAAAAGGAAATGGGCCATCATTCCGATTGTGAAGAATTCATTTTATTTTCGAAATATTGATTCCCTTTTCCAAGGAAATGACACTCAACCAAGAGTTTTTTTAATTCAGATGGATTGGGAAAGGGAAGATGTTAGATACCCTTTACCTCTGAGCTATTGTAACAGCCCAATATGAAAGTTGTTTAGGATTTATTTCCAACAAAATCACCAGTAATAAAAAATGCTAAGGATTCCCAAAATTTTGTGAAAATGCTTCAAACTTCTTCTAAAAATAGTTTTAGGAGATGTTGTCGGGCCTTAAATACTAATTTTCCCAAGACCCTTGCCTCTTTATCTATTTATTCCAATCTAGAAAAAGTTAAGAATGCAAGTTTCCCAAGTTCTAAGAATTTAAAATAACCGAAAACTAGACTTAGTTTAGGAATTACAAACTTGATGAGTTAAAAATGAAGTGAGAGGGTTACCTATCATATGTAACCTTGGCAAGGATTTTCCAGTAGCTGAACCAAGTTAAAATGGTGTTTGAACGAACTCTTGAACTGGTCAAGTTCTTATAATTGACATTCAAATGTTAAGGAAAATCAGTGACTATTAAAGGTTTGGAGATTTCTTATAAATCCAAAATTTGAAACATAGTAAGGCGGATTTGAAGTTTAAAACTTAAAGACTTGGAGATTTCTTGCAAATGGAACATTTACCAAAGCAATGAATGCTTTTAGGCTCTCTCATCTTCTCTTTGAACTCGAATTGGGTCTCTATTTATAAAGAAAGAATGGTAAAGCAGGTTTATAACTTGCCCAACCACAAAACTTGGGTTTCAAAAAAGTTTAAACATGCAAGAAGGCTCAAAAGCTAAATCTAACAAGCTTTTTATATGATATTTGAGAGCTTATTTAATCTATATAGGATTTTTATGAATTTTTTTGGGGGTTTCTCATGCCCAATGGGGTTATTTTCGAACCT